TCTCCAACATCTTTGTCATCGGTAAAGGCAGCAAGCCGTGGATTTCTCTTCCACGAGGAAAAGGAATCCGCCTCACCATTGCTGAAGAGAGAGATAAGAGGCTGGCAGCCAAACAGAGCAGTGGGTGAAATGGTCTCTAATGACATGTTATAGAGATCTCTGTTTAATTAAAGATAATAGAACATGATTTTAAAGAGTTGAGTGTCCTTTTCCTTTAAATAATTGAAACCACAAAGATTAGCTTCGCATCGTGGCATCTTATAGGAGGCTGTGGTATTTCATACACCTAAATTCCTAGCAGTCACTTCCCCTTGTTTCAGCACAACAGCTGCAGTATGCGATTCCTCCTGTTGAAACTGGAGGCAAATACTTCCTTCACAGAGAAAACCACTTTCAGGAGTACAGCAGACCCTCCTATTCCAGGAGACCCTTTTAATTTAGCAGTTAAAGAAATGGAAGTATCTATAACATACAAGCCTGGCAAAGTGTTGCATACTTTTAATCTCAGCAGGCCTGGGGATCACTTGTTCTACTGAGCTATCCCCCAGACCCTGTATTTCCTTCTGATGGTGAATTGTCTCCAACCTGAGGTACGTTTCTACCCTTCACTTATATTAGAGACAGGATCACGCTACATAGTTTAGGCTTTGAATTCACTAACCCTTGTTTCTCAATCTCCCCTGGTATGCAGCCACTCCAAAAAAGCCTTCAAATGAGAACGAGTACTCGACCAGAGAATAGATCAAAGAATTAAAAAAAAATTTTTTTTTGGTGTACACCTGTAATCCCAGCACTCAGGAGGCAGAGCCAGGAAGGTGATTGTGAGTTCAAAACACCCTTTGGGGGGGGGCCACAGAGATAGCTCAGTAGAATAAGCGCTTGCCTGGCAAGCTCAAGGGCCTGAGTTCAATCCCCAGTTCTGCAAAAAAGACCCACTGAGCTAGAAAATGAGCTTAAGGCTAGCCTGAGCTGCACAGGAGACCCTGTCTTAAAAGTTGAAAGCACTTGAGCAGACAACATTGTCCTCAGGTTGTAAGGACCCTAGAGTATTTCAAATGAGCAGACCTTGATGTATGCTGGTAGCGTTTCAATTGTCCTCTTCCTCTAAGCCACTTCGAGATTTCCTTTAAAACAGGGTTATCTACTACAGGGCCCTCCCTCAGCACAAACCTCACTATCTCAGAGCAACGTGATACAGGGCAGGTCTGGTTTGGCTTGAGGATATGGGGATCGAACCACAGCATCCTGAGCCTGACTGCTTTGTTTAAGCAGGAACTTAAACAACTGAGCTAAGGGGCAGCCCCCCACCCCCTTAAGGGCCTTTTGATGACAAACTTGGCTATGAATTGAGTTTTCAAGAATCTGCCATACTTGAGATAAGAAAGGTATTTAGGCAGAACCAACAGTAGCCAAATCTAGATGACCTATGGTAAGAATACATCAGAGCCTTGTGGGAAACCTTCCCTGCTGGCAAATCTGGTGGAGGTAAAGGCCTGGCTTTTAGTCTTAGCCCAGGCTCACTTGGACGGCCGGACTTCAGCATGAATCATACTAGGAGTTAAGGGGTGACCACTACAAAGATTCACTTCATGGTACTGGGGGCGGCAACGTGCTGCTCCTCGGCGTCTCAGGGGAGACGTCGCACGCACCACGTAACCCCCCCGCCCCCTCCCGTCTCCGATCGCCCCACCCCTGCTAAAGCCCCGCGTCCCTCTTATTGGTTCTTCGCGGCAGTCCGTTGCCGTGGAGACCACGGCGATGGCAACCAGGAGAAGCCAAACTTAGTCAACCCTTTGAATCGCGCTAGTACAGGCGCGGGAGCGGACCGCGCGGAGCCCATGGCGCTCTACGAGCTTTTCTCCCACCCGGTAGAGCGCGGCTACCGCGCGGGGCTCTGCTCCAAGGCCGCGCTGTTCCTGCTGCTGGCCGCTGTGCTCACCTACATCCCGCCGCTGCTGGTGGCCTACCGGAGCCACGGTGAGCTTGCCCGGGCCGGCGCGCGACACCGCTCCCCGCGGGCGGCCCGCGACCCGGCCGGGCCTCCTGACCGCCTCCCGCCGCCCTCTCTAACTCAGGGTTTTGGCTGAAGCGCAGCAGCTACGAGGAGCAGCCGACCGTGCGCTTCCTGCACCAGGTGCTGCTCGTGGCCCTGCTGCAACCCGAGCAGGGCGGGTTCCTCGCCTGGAGCACGTTTCCCGCTTTCAACCGGCTGCAGGGGGACCGGCTGCGCGTCCCGCTCGTCTCGGTGCGTGGTTCCGACCCGGCGGGCCGGGGTGGAGGGGGGCGCGGCGCGGGGGCCCCGGCGTGGATCCTAGACGCCCGGGGGGCGCGACTTTTGTAACCCGGGCTCTGTGACCTGCGTGGGTTCACTTTCCTCAAGAGTAAATCAGGTGTGTAGTTCGCGATCTCCCAGAAAGTTGACCACGCCGTGTGAGTCCGCGACCGACTCCAGAGCCTGGGGCCAGCCGGTCTCAGTGCCGCAGGCCTTTCTCTAGGTGGGGGCTGATGAAAGGGTGCGTGTGATCTGTCTCGAGGAGCCCTGAAGGCCGAGCTCAGTTATGCCAACTCCAACCTCCTGTAGGGGCCCAAAAGGCAGGCAGGATTCCTGAAAGCCAAGGAGCTCATTGGTTAAGCGACCTCAGTCTGGTTTGTTCCCTTGCAAAGCTGCACCCGCCCGCACGTGTCCCTTCGTCGCTCTCTGCTGCTCCATCCTGCAGCTGTTAAAAGCATTTTACTGCATTTTAGTATGTGGTGTAACACAAACGGACGCTTTTACGGTCACTCTACTCATTTTCTGAAAACATGTTCCTTTAGAAGTACGTATGAAAGGGCTGGGGATAAGGCTCAGCCTGCCTGGCAAGTGCAAGGTGTCGAGTTCCATCCCCAGTAACACAAGAAAAGCAAGAAAAAAAAAAAAAGGTCAGGTTTTCCTTCCTGCAAAGTTGAATCTCTTCAGGTAGTCTCTAACATGGCTGGCCCACAAGGCAAACTTGTATGACTAGGGAAAAAGAATTCAGATTTTCTAACAGCAATTAAGAAAGGTTGAACATTTTTAAATATTCACCTGGTAATGTAAATAACTACAGGCAATATGATTCAGATTACTTTGATTTTTTTTTTATTTTTATTTTTTAGGGAAGGGTCTACAGGGTGTTCATGGTCTCAATACTAGATCAGACTCGTGGTGATCTGCCTGTTTACAGCCTCCCAAGAGCTGGGGTTACAGGTGCGCACCACATACCCAGTCTCAATTGCCAGCTCAGAGTGCCCTGGGGGGCGGCCCCTGCTTGAAAGTGCTTTAATCCGCTGAGCTATTTGACTGGCCCTCTTTAAATATTTCTCATGTTCTTTCTGATTACAGAAATGTGTACTCATTGTCAAATAGAGTTACAGTGTGGGACATGGTGGCGCTTGCCTATAGTCCCAGCACTTGGGCAGCTGAGGCAGGAGGATCACTGAATTCAAGGCTAGCCTGAGCTACATAAGGAGTTCAAGGCCATCCCTCATTATACAGGAGACCCAGGTCTCAGAAAAACAAGCAAAAAAGGGATTACAGGTATACATAACGTCAGAAGATTAACGGCTCAATTTGATGCATGTATCAATAGTTGCTAATCAGCTTTATTATTTTTTTAAGGTCTGTAGACTTATTTCAGGATATGAGAATACTGTGATAGATTTAACCCATTCCTTGGTAGATACTTGACTTTCTTCAAGTTTGCACTATTAGGGACAATATTTTGGCCCAGGGAGATAGCTCAGTAGAATAAGCACTTGCCTGGCAAGCGCAAGGGCCTGAGTTCATTCCCTGGTTCTAAAGAAAAAAAGAAAAAAAAAAGGGACAATATTTCAGTGAGTAAGAGTCTAACTAAATGTTATACTATGTATTTTTTATTAGCTGATTGACTGAATGAATGACAGATGAGGTCATGGGGACTCTAGGTCTCACTATGTTGCCCGGGCTGGTCTCTTAACTCTTTTTTTTGTTTGTTTTTTCTCAGAACCGGGGATTGATCTCAGGCCTTTGCACTTGCCAGGGAAGCACTTATTCTACTGAGTCATCTCCCTGGCCCCTGAAATTATTAAATAGCAGAAGGCTACAAGAGTGTAGTTGGTACTCCAGCAGATACATCACTGGGGCCCTGAGTTCAGTCCCCAGCAAATGATGGAAGAGAAACAATTGGAGCCAGAGGGGTTTTCTTTCCTTTTATTTCACTTCCTGGAGACACGATCTCCTGGTGTAGTTCAGTATGGCCTTGAACTCAGATTCACTAGGATCCTCCTGCCTCAGCCTCTTTTGAGGGATCAGAGCATGCTGTTGTGTCCAGCAGGCATCCAGTAGTTCTTTCAGAGGTTCCTCATTGATCAGTGTCCTTTTTTTTTTTTTTTAATGTATTTAGTACAGGGTCTCCCTACACAGATCGGACTTGTAGTGATCCTACTGTTTTCAGCCTCCTAAGCGCTGGGATTGCAGGATTACAGGATTACTGGCCACCATGCCCAGTTTCAGTCACGGTCTCAGCACACCCCATGGATGTGGCCAGCAGGCACACTGCCGGGGATCAAACCCTGGTCTCTGCACTCTGCCTAAACAGGTGCTTTAGCCGACTGAGCTATCTGGCTGGCCCTGACAGTGCTCATTTTTATTCTGAGCTGAGATTAAAGTGCCCTACCGGGCAGAGTGACCTCAGGAGAGCCAATATGGAAGTGGGCTTGGGGTTCTGTTTTAAATTCGCTTTTGTTTGTTTGCCTATTTGTTTTGCAGTACTGGGAATTGAGCCCAGGACCGTATGCATGCTCAGGTCCAAGTACTCTCCACCAGCTGCGTCCCTAGCCAAGGTAGATGCGCTGTTTGCCGGGAATTCACTAGACTTCTCATGCGCCACATTTCATGAATTTCCTTCCAAAAAGGAAAGCAGACATTTTGGGGGGACATGGGAGTGTTGCTCAGTGGAAGGGTGCCTGCCTAGGACACAGAGCGCTGTGTTCATCTGAAAATTGAAATAACTTGCTTGTTTTACATTAAAATTGTTAGATTTTTTGGTGTTACAGTAAAGAGACAGGAAAGATCAGAGACGCCTTTGTTGACTCTGAAGACACAGCATCCGACAAAGATGGGATCCTCTGACCTGGGACAAGGGAAGGCTGAGACTGCTGTGGCTTTTGCTAGGGGTGGAGTCCAAGAGGCGGTTTCTGTTACACGTGAGGAACTGACTGTGGGCTCCCCTGTTTGTGTGTGGGAAAGACATCCAGGACCTGGGTGGGGAAGGAGGAAGTGGCCATTGGTTAAGCTGTTGTTTTGGGGCTGCAGCCATGTTAGATGGCTGCCATAATAATTCAGCAATTCATACTAAGGCCAGAACCTATCAAAAGTAGCATTTTTGTCAGGGGTCGTGGTGGTGCATGGCTGTAATCCCAACACTTAGGAAGCTGAGGCAGGAGGATCACCATGAGCTCCAAGCCAGCCTGGGCCCCATAGTGAGTTCAAGGGCAGCCTGAACTACATAGACCCTGCCTCAAAAACAACAACAAAAGCATTTTGTCTTGAATTTTGGTAGGGTTTTGTTGTTTTTTGTTTTTTTTTTTTTTCCCTTTACATCTGTGTATTCCTCTCCGTCCTCATACACTTCTGGTTGTTTGAGTCTAGGAAATGGTCGTGAACATGTACAGTAATCAGTGAAAATAAAGGTAAGCGGTGGGTCTCGGTCCTTCTTTCATTTTCACTTGTACAGTTGACCTCTTATCTCTGTAAACAGAAACCTTCCTTGGAGCCGCGCCCAGGGTCTCTCTTGGCTTCGTTGCTCGGGTTCCAGTCTTAAATCTAAGGAGCCTAGGCAGCCTCTTTTAAGGCACCCAGACCATCCTCTGTCACCTTTGCTACTTTTATTGTTGTCCCTGTCCTCTACCACTGAGCCACATCTCCAGCCTAGGTAATTTTACAGTGTTTGTAAAATACAAGACCCAAAGTCCTTTTTTTTTTTTTTTTTT